TGTGTGTGTGTGTGCGTGTGTGTGTGTGTGTGCGTGCTACCTTGGTCTTGGCATCAATTTTTGCTCCACGGTCCAACAGCAACTTAACCATGTTTCCATTTCCTCTCTTAGCTGCCACATGCAGTGGAGTGATGTCATTCTGTATGCAACCCACACAAACACCATAGGACACACCGCAAAGACAAGATAGATAGTTACAATCACACTCCACAGACATTAAATCAAAATAACTACATATGAAATAACAATAATATATTTCTGTGAAAGAATACAAAATATTCTGAATGGCATATGAGATGCATTGCGACCATGTGCATGTGACCCTCAGGCTGCAACAGATTCATACACAAAGTTGTTTGGACTGAGCCGGCCATATGACAGTTTAGAGAGTTCAGCCGAGAGGGCATTTGGCAGATGTACACACACACATACATGTGAGCATGTGTGCTCACAAAGAGCCTTAGGCAGATCGTTTAGCTCATTCATCAAAACATTTATGGAGCATTTTAGGCTGGAGTCTGGTGACAATACTACAACATTAATGCAATACTGCCCCCATTTGACAATCAGAGGAACTGCATGACCACAGTCATATTGAAACCAAGGCTTGGTGCATTTTGAATGGGAATCAGTTCCCCTGAATGGTATATTCAAAAGTGTGTATTCCAAAGAATTAGCATAAGGTCAAAGATAAGATTTTAACAGATTTTGGAGGATCGTTTCCCTTTAATCTGTTAAAATTGGTCCACTGAAGCAGTAGATGGTGCTGTGATCTCACCCTTGCCATGAAGTCCACTGCTGCTCCTCTATTTAACAGTAGTGTTGCTACGTTGATGTTTCCATAGTGGGCAGCAATGTGGAGAGGAGTGAAACCACTCTGATGACAAGAAAGACAAAGAGCAGAATTGTTAAAACAATTATTTATCCATTTAGCTACCCGTGCTTCCTTAGACTTGGGATTATCTGTGTTCTCTTGCTACTAATTATGATCCTCTCTTTAATGGCTAAATAGAATTATATAGCCCCATTACAAATGATCACAAATAATTTAATTTGTATACTTTAAATTCATCAATAAAAACTTAAAAAGTAAATGACAATGGATCTGAGTGTGTTACATCAAAAATAAACTCTTTATATAATATAAGAACATTTTGAATATGAAACGCAGCTGTCAAAGCGAGATGGAGGTGTCCGGTAGGCTGCATTGCAGCAAAAGCCTTCCAGTCATGGAGATTTCCATCTCAATTAGCCAATAATCCGACACAAAGCAGGTGGTGCTCAGCATAGCCCTTCCCCGCCTCTGTTTGCTCTCTCATCTCCAAGGGAACGGGGCTCCACCCATTTTGAGGGGAATTATTGCAATTATTAGCCACAGGCGTGAATGAAAAACAGTGGGGGTTTAAACATTTTCAGCTGCACACTAATAGACTATGATATTTACAGAACTAACTCTAGACAAGAGACAACACGTACTGTCACCTATGAGGAGAACGGAATAAACATTCTCATAGATTATCACCATACAGTCATCATGATCAATGCATTCACATTTCTATTCACTCAGAAAACCCTTTGAATGCTTCAAATTCATGGACATGGCACTTTGCTCTTTACATGTGGTTGTTAGTTTGCAATTTAGCAATGTTCTCTATCATGCAAAACTGAACTATAAATCTACACGGCCAAACTGCTGTTGCTTGCCGTGTTGGCAATCCTGACCATGCACATGTGCAGATACTTTTTGCAACATTGCAACAATTCTAAACTGCAAGATTTCCAGCTGTTTAACTGAAACCGAGAGAGGCATTTGTCTAAAGGCCCATGCACAAGCCCCAGAGAGGGAGGACTAAACTACCAGACCATCTTATCTCTGCAGCTGGCCAGCCGGGTTCCTCTTTCACAGCCAAACCAAATGAATAGATGTCTCACAACATCTAATGCTCAAAGGAACAACATGCTACATCCAGTTAGTAATAAAAGCTGTTTAAAAGGTCAAACTTAAATTGTACCATTTTCTCACTTCTACAGTAGCATGATGTGCCAGTGAAGTGACCTTTGTATTATGCAGTACTCTAATTCTAATGACTTCTCTTCTCTTCATCTTCAAAAGGCCAGATGAACGTTCACAAACATTTTAAAACTTAGTTTTCACACAGTCCAAAATACTGTACTGCAATGATTCCTGTTTGGCATAAGAAAATCAAGCCAGATATTTTTATAATAGTTAAATAGTAAATAGTTTTGTTGCAAAAACTAAAAGTTTGTGAATATTTTATTCTATATTTTAAACTGTTATAGGTCTTTGAGACTCAAAAATTTTGTCATTAAATGGTTTGACAACTGGAATTTTAATTCCTGCAATATAGACTCATCAAATTATTAAATTCTAGCTATTTCTTTCACAATCAATTGATGATTGAAAAATTAAGGTGGTGGCAATTATAATTGAAAGGGAGCATTTAATTGGACAAAAATAAAAAAATTTGGAGGACAAGATCAATACTTTTGGTCCGTTTAAAGAAAAATTTAATTGAATTAAATTAAATTACTAAAAGCCACAAAACTACTGTTTTGATATAATGGTGTCCCTTAAATGTGAACTATAACAATCATGTGTGATCTACATATTGTCCAGCAAAAGTAGCCTAGATCTAGTGCTATTTTACTTCACATGTTGAGATAACCTTTTGTGAAAACCTCTCTACAAACAACAATATCTCATCATCGGGCTCTAAAAACTGGAAC